AAGAAGCATGGAAGGATCCTCTAAATGATTCCGTCGTGCCTGATGGTTACCATGAATACGTTCGTCCCATGCTGAAGCAACAACTCCGTAATGCAAGACTGTGAAGTCTAAAGAGGAATAAAGCAGTTAGAGCTCTTTGATGTTGTGGGTAATAATACAAATGAAGTTGTAATAAAATTTACCAGAAGTGTCACCTGAAAGGTGAAGGTTATTGGAGAGCTCTGGTTGATAGTCATTTTTGCTGTATCCAAGTTAATGGCAAATTATTTATTTCTTTTTTAGTGTACATGGAGGCTTAATATGTTGTTGACTACTTGGTAAATGCCTGCAATTAGCCGTAGTAAAATTAGACAAAAAGATTAGCAGCTGAGTTAAACTCGAAACTTTTCACTGTTTACTCCCTTAGAAATATGCTTTCAAATTTAAAGTCAACTGGAAAATCCATAGAAAAGAATCAACAGGCTGGAAATGTATGGGCGGATGTTCATTGGCTATTTACCAAGTTGCAACGGGATCCTGCTGAAGGAGAGTTGAGAAACCATTAGTTAACAACTATTGGTTATTAAAAAAACCTTAATGCTCTATTAAATATTAATAATCACTTTTAACAAATAAAAAAATTAGTTAATTCATGGAGGATGTTTTACAAAAGAAGGGTTGGAAAGAGAAGAAAACATGCATTCACAGAGACAATAGAATTAATAATCCATTTTATTGGATTCTACTGCGAAACCAGGAACTAGAATCTGGGAATGGTTTTGGATGCGCCTCTTGTGTGGTAAAGCCTAAAGGAAACGACGTGAATTTATTATTAAAATACCTTGACTATCTTCTTAGTATAAATACCTTTTTCGCAGAACCCTTTTTCCCACTAAGAGCTTACTCAAAACTGAAACCCAAAGATTTGTTCTTTTCTTGTTTTTGGATTGTGAAATATAGAAATTCATGAAGTAAAATATGGCAAGCACAAGCACTGTGGGTCAGGTGATCCGTTGCAAAGGTGCATATTTATATAAAAGAAACGTGAAGTTCTGATTTTCTGATCTATCCTCGTTGTTTTTTCTGTAATGGGTTCAGTTTTTTTTTTTTCACTTTATTATGATCGGTTGTCTTTTCTAAAAGATTGGAAGGCAATGCTGGTTTTATAATGGGTTCTTCTTCATTTTGCAGCTGTTGTAGCTTGAGAGGCAGGGAAACCACTGGTAATTGAAGAAGTGGAGGTGGTACCTCCACAGGCAAATGAAGTTGGTGTAAATTTACATTAGAAATGCTTTTGAGTATATTTAATGTAATGTTATAATGTTTTGTTATAACTGTGTTTTGTTTCATTACCCGTCCAAGCGAAAACCTTTCCTTGTCGTTCAGAGTTTCGAACGACATGGAAAACTTACCGTCCTACGGAAGAAAAATGTTCTATTCTCGTCTGTTGTCCTGTGGGTTTATTGGGCCAGCCCATATAGGAAGATTAAACACATAATTGATTCCAGAATTTCAACGTTTAAAAATTTTAGGGCTAATGTTTAAAAATTTTCTGAACCTTTTCAAAAAAAAAAAAATTACAATTATACTTAAATCTTCTAAAATATAATATTTTAAGGCTCTGTTTAATATAAATAAACTTGAAATATGCAATTCATTTACAAATGAATTTCAGATATAATTCATTTGTTTTTTTATGCTTGAAATAATTTTAAAAATTAAAAATTCATCTGCTTTTATTTTTAATATACCCTTGAGATAATAATTTTAAAAACTCCATCTTTTTTATTCCAATGTGGTTTATTTATATTCAAACCTATAAAATTAAATTCATAAAATTGAATTTTTTTTTTTCACATCGAACACACAGATTTTTTTATTTTTAACAGGAGAAGTTCAAAACTGAATTCATTTTCCGTTGCATTGTGCATGATTACTGTACATTAAACGGCAGCTAAGCTATAGCAGACAAAAGAAAATTCTGTGTGCAAATAATTGGACGAATTAGAGAAGCTGATTTCTTATAATGCAAAAATTAAAGGTTTACATTATTTCTATTTTTTTATATAAAAATAATAAAATTAAAAGAAAATGTCATCTCAGAAATAAAAATTAAGAAGAAAAAAAAAAAGGAAAAGAAGAGGTGAGGTACGAATAAAAGAGAATCACAGATTGTATTGCCGTTTGTGACAGTTCCAAAACAAGAGCTTAATTTCAAGAACATGTTTCTCACGGACAAATACGTCACAGTTAAAGCACGTGGAAAAATCACTAGCCGCCAGTGAGTGTCCCAAATCCTTATTTCAGGATATTTTCGACTTTTTAACTTTTGTATCATCCAGAAAGATACAATTACACCCAACTCGACCCCACGGCGATAAGATTTATATACTAAACCAAAAAAAAACTTATATTTATTGGAAAAAAAGAAAATAAAACAGTGATAATATTTCAAAATTGGAACAACTCGCACATAAATTTTTTCTAAAAATAAAATATAATTAGATTTTTAAATTATATTTAAATTAATAGCTAAATTTCATATATATTCAGAAAATCAGTGTATTTTTTTTTATTATTTTTTGTTTATGACCAATAGTGATTGTAACGAACAATCAAACCCACCCAACCTCCTAATGTTTTAAATAATTAATGTCATGCCACCATTCATTAAATAAAATAGTAAACTATATATCTCAATTGACAAGAGGGTCATATGTCCATTTTATAATTAATTAACCACCAACAAAGAAAATTAATGTGCAATCAATATGATATATACCTCTAGCTAGAAAAATAAAAGTGATAAAAAAAAATTTTTTTATAAATGATTATTGTTAGAAAAATATGTTATAAATGATATTTTTTTTTATTTATTGTATAAAAATATTACATTTTCTCATTAAACTAAAATGTTTCTCGTTTTATTAATTTAAATTATTTGCCTAAATTACTAAGATGATGTAGGCATAAGAATTCTTTGTACGCCATTAGTAATATAAACAATTAATTAGTTGGCTCTAACTCATTATTTATTCTTTTATTTGTAGTGATGCAATTGGTCTATGTGAGCCTTAAAATAAAGGATATTGGAAAATATATAAAAGATTTCAAAGATTTATTCTTTTGTCTTATAATCATTTTATTTATAATTACTTAAAAATAATAAATAACTACTAAATACTATTATAAAAAATTTAATTAATATATTTTATTTATATAAATATTAAAATAAATAAACCAATTAATTAGTTGGCTTCTAACTCATTTTTACTTCTTTGTATTTGTAGTTTGATTTTGGGCAATTGGTCTATTGTGAGCCTTAAAAATAAAGGATATTGGAAAATATATAAAAGATTTTCAAAGATTTATTCTTTTGTCTTATAATCATTTTTATTTATAAATTTACTTAAAAAAATAATTTTAATAAAACTACTAAAAAAATACTATTATAAAAAAATTTTTAATTAAAGTATATTTTTATTTTATTTTATTAAAACTATTAAAAAGGGAAAATAATTATAAATTTACTATAAATATTAAAAGAAAATAATATATTTACTTTTAAAAAATAAAAAATATATATTATAATACACAATAATTTATAAAAGTAATTATAGCTTTAACATTCATTTTACATTTTAACACTAATCACTGTTAAAATTTTCCTAAACAATCACACTTATCAATTAACGGCTATCAACCATCTGACCTCTAGCTATAAACAACCACTATTAACTATTGGTTAACACAATAATTAATCCATAACACACTGGAAAAGGTCAAGTTGTTCATAAAATAAGTATTCTTTTAATTAAGGTAACAACTAACAATTAATTAAGTAATTAACAAATAACCTAAATATAATTAATAATTAAGATGGAAATCCAAAAATTCTCACATGAAAGCAGCCTAATCAAATACCTAACGCAGCTCGTGCTAAATTATATATACATAAAAATAATGTATATAGTTTGGTGGCATTAGTTGGGTTTTGAATATTTATCAATAATTAATTAGCTTAATTTTGCTGATTTAGACTTGTTTATGCCATGAGATATTAACACTACATTAATTAATAATACAATATAATTGAGAGAGAGAAGAGAATTCATACGTGGCAATAATTTAGTACCTAATCTTGTTTGATGACATGACAGATTAATTAATGTGATAAAAAGAAATTGGGTAGAAAGGAAGCAATTTTAATACATATATGGCACAGAAATAATTTTTTTACGATATTTTATAAAAAATTAATTCATATGTTAAAACTATTAAAAGAATTAATTTTTGCGAAGCAATAAGTAATATAAATGCATGGCATGCATCACAAAAAAACCAAAAAAAAAACTGTTGCGGGACCCAAGCCAGCTTTCAATGTGAAATTCATGGCTTAAAATAACAAATTGTTGTCCCACTATTAAATCCCCAACAGGGCTGCAAAATTACCAACTTGGGTTTTCCTCATTCTTTTTATTTTTCAAAAATTGATAGCAAATATTTATGCATATGAGAAATATTTTTGGAAAAATACCCTGAATTATTGGAGCAAGTATCTATAATAAGTCAATGGTGAAGCCAAGAAACAATAGACAGCACTAGATAAAGCCAGAATATATATATATATGTATTATTAAAAACCAACATGAGTAACGACATTATATACTCATTAATGTCAAAATGACCAAAACTGTTGCATTCCATATAGTATAATTTTAAACCCTTTTTTTGCTTTGACCCCATTTCTAAATATTCTTGTTTCTTTCTTTTTTATTTTTTAAAGTGCAATTTGACCCAATTCTTTAGACATTTGAAATAATTTTTTTAATTATACAAATACTTTTTAAAATATTGAAATTTTTTACTGTTATTTTTCCTTTATTATGATGCAACACTCAATCACTAAGTTACAAATTCCCTCTCCTCTTCTTAGTTTAGTCTGACCCCAGTTCTTTATATATGATGTTACTATGCCTTGAACTGAAGTACCCTAACAATTAAGATCTAGCTGTCCCTAGTTTCAAGCTCTGCCTCCCGTATTTTTCTTTGTCCAATCACTACCCGTACTCCTCCGGCACCATGGAAGCATCACTGATTTATTAGATATGGAGTGTGAGGCTCAACCAACCGCATCTTCTTCTTCTTCTTCTTCTTCAACCTCTTCTTTCCCTTCTGATCCGATGAATAACTCCAACAAAATGAATTCCCCAAAGAGCTCTAAGAGAGATCAAGAAGTAGTAAACAAAAGCAACAATGAAAGAAACAACAAGAAAGCGAAGGCAGAAAATGCAAAAATTTATCCAAATTATCGAGGAGTAAGAATGCGTCAATGGGGGAAATGGGTATCCGAAATCCGAGAACCAAGAAAGAAATCAAGAATTTGGTTAGGAACTTACCCAACAGCAGAAATGGCAGCTCGAGCTCACGATGTAGCAGCTTCAACAATAAAAGGCCATTCAGCTCATCTAAATTTCCCAGAGTTAGCTCACAAGCTTCCTCGTCCTGCAAGTTCTTCTCCTAAAGATATTCAAGCCGCAGCTGCTCTAGCAGCTGCCTTGAACTACCAGAACGATAATGAAGTAGCTGATCTAATCATATCAAGTCAATTAGGAGAACCTGAACCTCAATGGCCAGACATCACTGAGGCGTCTCATGACACCCAAGAATCAGAAGATGACACTTTTATCGACTTGCCGGATCTTTTACAGGACATAAGCCATCAATTTAACGAATTCTGTTATTTATCTTCTTGGCAACAGCAATTGGGTGTGGCTGAGAATTTGGATACCGGATTATGGTATCATCAAGAGTCCTTCTTCTAATTTTTGGGAGTACAGTAGCTACTGTTCTTGAAATAGTTTAATATATAATTATTTAATTGCTATAATTAAGCTTTATTATTAATACATATATGGTTGCAATACTTAACTAATTAATTGGTAATTATTTCAGTCGCTCAAGCACTCTCCGCAAGTATATATTTTTGCTCCTTTTTGTTTTCCTGCAATTTTGGGTGTTTATATATTAATTATGTGATTTCTTGTTCCCAATAAATACTGATAATAGATTTTCTTTTTGAAGCTTTGGACTCTTAATATTTTACCCACCACCTACAATTATCATAAAATTTTGAGTTAGCATCAGCACTTTACTCAATAATTTATTATTAATTTCTCGTTAATCGTTTTTTATTTTAATTAAAACAATGATAATAATATATATCCAATGTGGACAAAAAAAAAAGGCGGATATAATTGTATATATCATGTCTCACTTGTATTTTTGATTATATATATATATAATCATGTGGTTCATGTCCACTTGTAAAAGAAATATATGTAAACTATATTTTTTTTGATAATAAGAGAAGTTAATTGTTACACTATTAGTATAAATGTTGATTGAATTTAAATATAAATAATAGTTACTAAATATCGTGCTTACTTAATTTTGATAAATAAATAAAAAGTAACAAAATTATTATTTAAATAAATTCAAAAAATTTAAGTTTTATTTCTTTAGTTAAAAATCGAAATATTAAACCGGTTATTCAGATTTTACCAGCCGATTGACCAGTGTTAATAGACTAATTACGGTTTGAAATATATATATATAATCGATATTTGAGTAATTGTACTTATACCAACGGTTGGACTGACAGACCACTAGCACCCCAACATATAGTTGTAAGCTCCTTACAACACACGTACTTGGGCTTCACAACTGCATCACTAAATAAAGAACATATATTGAATTAAAAATGAGTAAAGTAATCAACACGTGGAGCGAAATATCGTGCTACTTTAATTTGATAAATAAAATTAAAAAAGTACAAAAATATTATTTAAATAAATTCAAAAAAATTTAAGTTTATTTCTTTAAGGCTGTAACCGAGAATTCGCGAAAATATAAACCCGGTTATTCAGATTTTATCCAGCCGATTGACCAGTGTTAATCCATAGATACTACATCTACGGCTCTTGAAAAAATAAGAATACTCCGGGTATATACAATGATAGTCTCACATTATCATAGATTCACAATCATTTCAGGATCCTAATATAATCACCCAGATCCGAAACGGTTGGACCGCAGATCCTCGAACCAGCAAACCCGTAGCACACCCCATCGAGTACACTATAGTGTTTACATGCCTCACCGTTATCCATCAACACACGTAACTGGGGCTCAAACGCACCAATCAACTACAAACTAACACAAACAAGAAGCAGCACTATAATACAAGTAATATACATCATATTATAAGCACAAGTAATAATACAAACAAATTTTTAATATTAATCAAGAATATTAATAGTGGTAATAATTATCATATAAATGGTCAAATTCTAACAAAATAATGCTCACTCAATTTAAAACCCATTTTGGATTCAGCAAACTTCGATAAATGGTTGGTATAAAGCAATGAATCGAACACACTTTACAATTCAGGGCGTAAGGGAAAGCGGAATAAAGACTATGATACATTTATACAGAAGCTAATATAACACTAAAACGTCAACCACTGACACTCACTACAGAATGGTTAGTTGCTTTTCAATGCTTTATATAAAAAATGACAAGAGTATATATTTATGACCGAATATCAATCACATTATCATTGTAGCCTTTTTAGCCACTAAGTTTTCTTGGTCGCCATTTATTTCCGACCTGGATGAATTATATTGTGAGGTTTTATAAGAACTCTTCTCTAAAAACTTGAGATAAACTATATGGGTTTTATATAAAGGTCTAAAATATAGCAAAATATTATTTTAATTCCACAAATAAACTAGAATTGACATTTCATTCAAATTCCAAGCACAATAAAACAACAAACAAAACCTATACAACATAATGTATACATTATCGGCGCTATTCTTAGTAACTTGATACTTAACGTTGGTTAGGCTTGAGACTCACGAGCGGTGGAACATGGAAACCTAATCAAGCTGTTTGTTTTTGTTATGATATCTTAAGTTATTCCACTGTCTATATACGAATCATAATAACTATTGATATAATACTGGCATTCTGTCCAGCAATAATTTTTCTACGTAGATAGTGAACACTAGCCCCCGCTGAATTGTGACCATGAAGGCATCCTAATGTTGAATTTTTTTTTTTTTTTTTTTAATCAAAGAGGAGTAATCTCTTTAAAATAAGGTATCTATTGTCTTCCAATTATAACCTTCAAAATAAATCGCATGATATAAATTTCTCTAATTATTCGGTTATTCTGAGGAAATATATTATAAGTACGTATTTATAAATTACAATTCCAACCAATTATCTTCTTGTTCTTAAGTTATCATATTTTCAAGTATCAATAACTTAAATTTAACTTGAATATACCATAAAATAATAGTCTATCAGTAATCATCCTAAGTACAAACTCTTAAGAAATAACTAATTTAATTCATTCATTTAAGTGTTTTAAATAAAAATTTTTTAATGCGACCAGACTAATTAATTATTGTCCTTCTATGGAAACTGGACTATCCAAATTTTTTTTTGCACACAGCTTTTTGGGGCTTTAACACACTTTAACATTTGAGTTAGTTTATAATTTAATACACACAAAGTATACACCACAACACTATTTTTTTAATAGCTTTTGGTAAGTCATACGCGTTTGAATAGTTTTAGAAAGTTAAGTAGGATTTATAAAAAGTCTAAACCACGCTCACATTAGTAACCCAGTAGCCCGGTGTATCACAAATTCATTTAATCCGAACAAAAGAGTCCTACTCCAACATCTACCACCATTAACGCTGACTGTCCGCCAATAAAGTGCTCCACTTACATATTATTCGGGTTATCTCATCTTAATCGTCAAGCAGAAATCTTACACCATTATTAAGTTAATTGTTCTATATTTTGAGTACTAATTGACTTATGTAACTAAAAAAGTTTCACCTAATTTTTTATTAAGCTAAGGAAATAAGCGTATTTATTATATTTTTTGTTTTATGTTGTAATACCCAACTTTTTGCCTATATAATATTTTTGCTTATTACGAAATTAAATATACGTCTACAAATAACTAAACGTACAATTTTAGGTCTATTGTTTATAATATATTATTTAAATCTTTATCATAATAAAAAAATGATACTCTTAATAATACACGTTTCATTAATTTAATTAATTTCAATGATATTAACCATTACAATAACACATTTTTAAAAAAACTAAATTTTCCAAACGCTATAAGCGGATTAAGTCTTTAAAGAAGTGTACCTGATTTAAATATTCAAATTTCATACCTTCCGGTTCCGCACGAACCACAGAATAAAAACTAAACATCTACGATTTTGAAGCGAGAAGGACACAGTCTTGTTCCCTAAATGAAAACGAGTCCTATACTAGGCCTATTGGCACAGAGAGTGAGCTACCCGCTAAATTCTGAGGACAGGGGAGACTATGCGACGCCCTAGCCAGACCCACAAACTAAAAAACATAAGTAACTTCTTTTTATGGTTTATGTGCAACGGTATGGCGAGGTAAAATCATAAACCTTCACCAAAATTAGGAGCAAACACAATACAATCATTTTATTCGTTTGTTCGAACGAAGAGGATTCAGCGTATTATTAGGATGACATATGTCGTGTTCCAAATCAAGGTGGGTGTGAACCAGTTCCGCCGAAGTTAAAGTATGAGGCTGGCGGAAAAGGTGTCGATGAAGGGGTACCAACATCAATAAAATTTGGGAGTTTTATCACCGGATCTTGCGCGAGGACTATAGTAAAAATTATATATACTTCCAATTACCTTGGATCCAAATTGATAATGGTTGTTAAATCAAACTTTCAATTCAGGGTAGACGGATAAAATTAACATTACAGAAGATATAAAACGTCAACCACGTGTAATATGATGGTTGTTTTCACTTATATAAAAATGAGAGATTTCGAATATCATCACATTTATCATTGTTCTATCATGATTTCTTTCGATATCCAATGAATGGGAGATTCACTTGATTTGTTTTTAAGGTTACACCAATCAGATGCATTCATATTCAACACATAAAACAACAACAAAACCTATACATACATAATGTATACAATATAATCGGTTCTAAACTGAACACGTTGGATTGATCAACGGACTGAAATTCCTAAGTGTTTCTTTGTTTGATCTTAAGTTATCACTTATAGACAACTTATGTATCATATGCATGCAGAATTCGAAGAGTGACCCCCCTGTGATTGTGACATGAGGCATCCTATGTTGAATTTTTTTTTTTTTTTTAATCAAGAGGTGTAATCTCTTTCAAATGGTTTTTGTCTTCAAAATAAATGCATTTTCAGTTATCGAATTTACAGGTCGTTTATATCATTCCAACCAATATCTTGTTAGTTATGTTCAACACTAAATATGTATAATAATAAGCAAAATTAGTACTAATTTTTTAATATTAATTATGTTCGGCAACAGCTTTTTGCTTAACTTTTAACATTTGATTAGTTTAAACATTAAACACTATTTTTTATAGCTTTTGGTAATATAGCGTTTGAATTAGTTTTTAGAAGTTAAGTAGGATTTTATAAAAAGTTAACTCATGTAACGTTTAGCCTTTATCATTTTATGAAAAGCTACTCAAACATCTACCAATTAAACGCTACTAAGGGTCTATTCGGTAAGATTAAATGTTTTGGTAGCTATTAGTTATTTTAATAGCGTTTAATTGTTAGTTTTTTGAATAATTTTTCATGAAACGCTAAAAACTAAACGTTACATGGGTTAACTTTTTATAAAATGCTACCTTAACCTCTAAAAACTAATTCAAACGCTATATTACCGAACACAATAAAAACTAACATCTAGCGTTTTGACGAACACAGCTCAAAACAGCTAATAGCTATTAAAATAGCTAATTTTACGGAATAGACTATACGACAAACTAAACATAGTAAATCTTTTTATGTTTATGTAATCAAAGCAGACAATGTTAGGAGACATAATGGGTCGCATATAAAGGTAAGTAAAGGGCAACATAAATGGAATAGCTGGAGAAGAAAATGGCAAGTGAAAGTGTCCTTGTCTTCTTTTTTATGTTGAATATTAATTGTTTATTAATAAAATGATTAAGACACTTGTATGCTTTTTATGCACACATCTTTTTTTTTCCCTTTACAAAGAGAAGTGAGATTTTTTTTTTTTTTTTATAAAGGATATTAACAACTCATCAGGAAATCAATGCATTTGGGCTTAAATCACTTCATCATGAGTAAGAATAAACTAATATTATTATATAAGACAAGTTTGGTCAATTCTCTATTATCATTATATGTCCATAAGTATATAATTCTCATCCTCTATCAATAACTAGTTGTCAATTTGATATAAAGGAAAAGAATTCAAAATTGACATCTTCCATTTCTATTTTTGATTTTGAATTTATTAAAAAAAAAAAGAACTTATTACTTTCTATTTATACTATTATAGGTGAGATATATCTAATTATTAATTAAAACAACTAGCTTAGCAACTTTAGTTTTCTTACTACTAATCCATAGTTTTGTCTATTTAAGATTAAAACTTGAAAGAGAAAGAACTCGACATTAATTAAGGATTAGTTGGGAAAAACTGGAATCATTAGGGTTGACCTTATATCACTAGATTAGATGCATGGCATGTGGGGTGATTGTATCATCAATATTAAAAATATATGTAGAATATTTATTAATTAACTAATTAAGGAGATATTTAGTTCAAAATAATATGCTAGTACACTTTCAAGAAATTTATTTTCCAAAAAATATTGATAGATTTATAAAAAAATCCATCCATGGCGCCTATGTAGAAATCTGTAAGACATGGACGAAAAAGAGAGAGAAAATAGGGGCTTTAAACCTGCAACCACTCCGATACTTAAATCAGTAGGAGAACAATAAATAGTTGTTATTGAATGAAATATTATGTTGCTTATTGTATAGATATTGAGTAGATATTGCGTAGCGTAACTGAGTAGGGAGTTTAATCCCCTTTATATAAAGGTAGAAAGACCTCAATTAGAATTGTAGCTGAAATTCTTATTGGATACTTATTCGTGAAGGAAAAATAATAAGATTTCATAATCCTATTATGATTCTATCTGAATAATAATAATTGATCATAAAATATAATTATATCTTATATACAAATTACAGTTAAATCCCTAATAAATATTTATATTATATCATATATAACTTGATTAATTTCTTTATTTTAATTTATACATAATCATTTATTTTTCTAATATCCATTGATAAATTAATAACAAGATGTGCTTATTCATTAAAAAAGAAAAATCTAAATGATTATTCATTAAAATAAAAGCGTAATCATGTAATTGATCAGAATAAAAAACGCAACAATATAATAGATTTTCCTCAAACATTTCCAGGGTAAATTTTATGTACATATATGGCATGCAAAAATTTAATTATTATTTATATTTTTCAAAACTTCAATATTTATATATATATAAACAATTAATGAAGAGAATGGCCTATGTGAATAAGATTATAATGGAATGTTCATTGCAAGTTAGTAGAAGACATTCTTGGCGGGGTAAGATTTCAAAAGCAACAAAAAAAAATTTGTAGAGGAACATTATAGATTATATATATTGTATTTAATTTATGAAATTGAATCTATTAAAAAAAAAAAATCTATGTTAATAATCTCACATTGATTATATATCAAATCCACGAAAAGTACTAATCTTTTAATATTGGTTAGCCAAACTCGATTAAGCTCATATTATGCATTTTCACATTATAACCTCTTATCAAATTTATCGATAAAAAACAAAAATGTAAAAAAGAGAATATAAAATGTCCCACACCAAGAAGGACAAGGCTTGGAGGACAAGTTATATGATATGACATGAGAGTATGGTAGAATGAAGCATGCTCTTAAAGCCTAAACAAAGATGTCTCTTTTTTAAACAATGGTCCAAACACAAAGATAGTAAGTACTATACATCCACACCATACTTAGAAATCCTGATGATTGTTTAGTGTTTTCAAAGGAAAATAATACGCATGCTCATTGCCGACATCAAATTCATACAATTGGCTAAATACATATTAACGCTTCAATTTTAATTATTTTACGTTTTATTTTCATTTATTAAATATTTTAATTTATAAAATTAGATCAATTAAATATTTATTATATAATTGAAAAGTATAAAAATTATTGTTTTAAAAGTTATATTAACCAATATTTTTAATTTATAAAATTTAGATCACATTAAATATTTATTATATAATTGAAAAGTATAAAATTATTGTTTTAAAAAAGTTATAGTTAACCATTTGTCAAATTAAAATTTTCTTTTTGAGAGTAAAATGAAAAATATTTTTTTATATGTAAAGGAAGGGTTAATAATAACCAAAAAGAAAAAAAAAAAAAAAAAAAAAAAAAAAAAAAAAACAAAAAAAAATTAAAAAAAAAAAAAAAAAAAAACAAAAAGAAAAAAAAAAAGAAAAAAAAAAAAAATTAAAAGGGATTATGTATAAATTTTCTTTTCTTTTGTTTGTTAATGAGATCTGCCACTGCCTCTAAAATATATTAGATCAATTAAATATTTATTATATAATTGAAAAGTATAAAAATTATTGTTTTAAAAGTTATATTAACCATTTGTCAAATTAAAATTTTCTTTTTGAGAGTAAAATGAAAATATTTTTATATGTAAAGGAAGGTTAATAATAAAAAATAAAGGATATATATAAATTTCTTTTCTTTTGTTTTTGTTAATAGATCTGCCACTGCCTCTAAATATATATATATATAAAAAAAAAGAAGACAAAAAATAAAAGAAATAAAAGATATTTGTATCCCATAATTTTCCTTATTAATTTATTTAGAAATACTAAGGATAATATGGTATATACAGATGTATAGTAGTTGCCACATCTCTTTCTTGGCAAAGTATAATTTCACATCAAAAATTTATTAATTGTTTATTTATTCTAAAAATAGGAATTGGAGATTGTCCATAGCACTACTAAAATACTAGAATTGGACCATCAAGATAAATTGTTGGACCACTAAAGCACATGATAAATTAAGTATTTGGTTAAGATGTATGCTGCTCTCTCTTTGTGGGTCACCATTTTACTGATATTTATGTATTTACAGATATATATTATTTAATTTTCTTTTTTTATTTGAAAGTAGAAAATTTTTAAAAGGGAAAAATATGAGTATTTAACACGTATAAATTATGTTATAAGAGGATTATGAAATAAATAAAAGGGACGACTCGGTATATAAGAAATATTTTACATATGTGAATTCTAAAAATTACTGATATAAGCAGTCTTCTCCCCATATTTTTATAGAAAGATTGTTTCCAAATTGTTCGATTCAAAATTTCAACAAAACGGTTAGCTAGATAAATACAAAAGTAATCTAGCTCAAGAAATTGATCCCTTTTGACTCTAACAGTAACAGATACCTCAATAAGCAGTTGGATTCAAAATAGCAACCTTTTGATTCAAGTATTAAAGCATTTGCATGAACTATAAATCATGTCCTTTTGGGCTACGGAGTTGTCTTAGTTTAAAATTCGAGACCTTCTATTCCTCCACGTCATTAAAAAATGTAAGAAAACCTATCTGCTAACATCTGATTAGCAAAAAAAACATAGAAGCATATTTTAAAAGCTTGGATTTTGCAAAGAAGACATGGATTGTGTAAGTGAAAGAGATGAACAGGATTCAGGAACTACATTGTTTCCAACTTCAAATACTAGGAAGGAGATATATATTTAAAATTTATTTCATATAAACTATTAGAGGAACCAGTACTTTTTTCTGCAAGTGCAATTACAATTTTTTTCAGGAGACCTGTTGTTATAAACAAAATAATCCTATAAGTTGGGCTATCGTTAGAGTAAATGGGCTCATTGAAATTCTGGTTCCATCTTTGGACCATGGACTTTGGCCCAATTAGTGCAAATTAAAACAAACAATAAGGGTATTTTTTTCACTGAAGGAAATTCAGAAAAAAAAAAAAAAAAGCTTGAACCTGGTCCAAAAAATATATTTTTTTTAAAGGAAAATCTCAATTTTTTTAGTATATAATTGAGAAATGAGAAACATTTTATGACAACATTTGAACCCATAATCTTCATTCTAATTGCTTAAAGCTTAATTGAGAATATATATATATATATATAATATTGTTTGACTATATTTTTTAATTTCTTAAACTCTGAAAATTAATTACATAATCATATAATAATATTTGGATTATGGAACTTTATTATGTCATTTATTTCTAGGTATAATCGGACATAGCAAAAGCCAAATATCTTCTTCTCCTCCTCTAGAGACTTCCCGCCCACTGTTATCGGAAACCTTGCCGTATCAAATTAGTAATTTTTTTTTATTAATCATTTAAAAGGCGTTTAAAACTAGGCCCCACCGTCACCATCGCATAGGCTCCAAATGTATCGCCACGTAATCCCCTATTCTCTTCCTTAAAAACCCGCCATTTGCCCCTCTCATTCAAAACTTTTAAAACTAAACCCCTCCTTCTCTTTCCCCATTTTCTATATGCAACAAAACCCTAGAACTATACAATCTTCAAATCCTCTCCCCTGCTATCATCTTACCATGCATCCTCACCCCTACACCGTCGATTCTCTCTCTAAATCACAAGACCTCGCCTCCGCAATCCTCTCTTCCTCTACTCCTGCCCAGATCTCCTCTGTCTGCGCCTCCATCGAGTCTTTTTTACACTCTCACACTCCTGATCAGTCTCGCCACTTCTTCTCCCTCACCTTTCCGACTCTAATTTGCAAGCTCTACGGCTTCGGTGATGCCTCATCTCCCCCAAATGGACCGCACTTCGCTTCATCCAATGTTGGCTGGATCGATATTATTCTCCAATCGGATGACGCCGATCTTGCTTCTAAAGTCTTCAACCTCCTCTCACCAAATGGTATGGTTTTTCAGTCAATTTTCGCCGTTGATCGTCAGTCCCTTGTCAAATACGTGTTTCCAATCGAGCGGTTGCCTGAGTGGGCCCGGTTCATGCTATCAAGCGAGAGAGATTGTCAGGTCTTGAACAATCTTTGCCCTCTCTTTAGAGATAAAGTCAAGGAGGATTCAATTAAAGGGTCTTTGTATTATCAAGTACAATTAAACGTTTTTGAGTATTTCATGTTTTGGTTTGCTTATTATCCTATCTGCAAAGGGAATGGCGAAAATTTAAACAATACACCTGTGAGAAGAACTAGAAAGTTAAAATTGGAGAATTGGGCCTCGTCCTTTCCTGGGTTTTCGCATTCTAAGCGAGGAAATGAACAGAAATTGGAGTCCAATCTCTATGTGCGGCTTTTGTATGCATATCTTCGAGCCTTTGTGCCTGTACGTGATTTGGATTCACATCAGCCGTACCGTAGCTCGCTTTTGCATTATAGGCATGGAAATGATGGGTCAATTTTGCTGAGAGCGGAGTTTTTTGTTGATACATTGGTGCATTATTGGTTGGTTGATAATGATTTCTCGCCTTTGCCTGTTAGTGTTTGCAAGTCATTTGGATTATCCTTTCCGCTCAGGTCAGTATTAGGTGAGACTCCACCAACACCTAATTTAGGTGAAGTGGTCAAGTTGTTAGTTAAGTACTTGAACTTGAGTGCAAATGTGGTCAAAGTGGGTTCTGATGGTGTGGACAGCCTGAAATGGAGTAGAGTTTCTTTGGGTTCATTTGATGCGAAATCAAGTGAATTTGCTGTATCTGTAAATGATTCTATGTGTGCAGGCGGCTCGTGGAATTCATGGATTCAAAGACCAGTTTATAGATTTGTTTTGAGGACATTTCTATTTTGTCCAGTTGGAACTTCAATAAAGAATGCTTCGCAGGTATTCTCAGTTTGGGTTAGTTATATGGAGCCTTGGAAGATTGGATTAGATGATTTTGTGGAGTTGGATGTCATTGTAGATGGATTGGGGAAAGGTGAAAATGAGAGAAGTACAGAGGAGGGGTATTCATCTCTGTGGCAGGATTATGTGTTGTCTAATTACTTGTACTACAATTCCTTGATTATGCACTTCATTGGGTTCGCACACAAGTTTCTTCACACCGATCCAGAACAGATAGTTCAGATGGTATTGCAGGTTTGTGACTGAATTCTAATCCTATCCTTGTGTTTATGTCATTTATATTTGCTTTCTTTTTGGACAATACTATACAAATTGTGGTTAATAATGATTACTCTTCCATTGTATTTTGTTCCATTTTGTGAACCTAATCGATACTTTGAACTGTCAACTTCAAGCAATGAATGCATGCTTTTGATTCTGATTCAGTAAATAATAGTTTGCTCGTTGGCTTGAGGAAGCAATAATAATGCCCATGTCCTTGGGCAGTATTCTCTTCAATAATACTGTATGTTGAGTAAACTACACATGTTATGCGATCATCTCTTTGTGGATAAAGGATTAAAGGTAACTCAATTATAAGAAGGTCTGGTTTAGTTCCTTGAATGAATTGATGGATTGCAAAAGCTATTGTTTGAGAACATTGAATCCCTGTTGTGATTTTGTGAAATGTGGATGGGGATACTGCACATGCATTGGGATTTTGTCAGCTGCATACAAAATCTTGGGCAACTCATTAAGAAAAGGAAGAAATACAAGGTATTTGCTGATTTTTCATGATTTTTGTTGTCCTAGAGAATACTAGGATGTTCAAGCAAAACAATTTTCTGATCATACATTTACTGGCTGTGAAAAATCAACTCCAGCTACAGGAAACATAGTATCTGAAAATAGGCGTGTTCCAATTAATAAAAATTCTACTTTATATAGACTATCTGAAAATAAGAATTGTTTTAATGCCATTATCATAAATTTCTATTCTATGTTCAATACTTGGACTATAGTTAATTTTTTAAATGTAAATGTTTGAAATTTGCATGTTTTAAGCTTTATTACAAATTCATGTTGGCAATCATGAATTTGTAATAAATTTAGTTTAAATTTTTAATTTTATTCATTCTGTAATTCGTTTTTTACAGGTTATGAGAATACTGACATCATTCAAAGAGTTGACTGATCTGATAAAGAACATGGATGCTGTTTTTCATTCCAAACAAGCTGGATCAGGCAAATCAATGCTTAACAGCTTGTATAGATATGTTCCTTTGATTCGTGAACAGTTGCAGGTAGATCTCTCTCTCTCTCTCTCGCTCTCTCTCTCTCTCTGTATGTGTGTGTCTGCATGCCTGTTTGAGTGGGCACTTCAACTGCCACTGCTGCTGTTTCACTTTGTTTTTTTCATTTATTTATTGGTAAACAAATGAAGATCTGGTCAAGCTTTAGAAGCCATTGCTTGTCTATTTGGAATTCATTTATAAATAGAAGTTCTGTTGTTCTGAACCACATGATTAGCGTGATCTGTTTTGGATCTTCACGGTTTAATGGCTTCTAAAATCAATCTTGCTGGTGTGATTTTCTCACTTTCAAACTCAATTGATTTGTTTTTTAAATTTATCTATTTGTCTTTCTAGGATTGGGAGGATGGTTTATCTGAGAGTGATGCTGATGGATCTTTCTTGCATGAGAATTGGAACAAAGATTTAAGACTCTATAGTGATGGGGAGGATGGTGGACAACAGCTCCTTCAGGTTTATTCCTGTTATTCGTAATTTAATTTATGTTGGCTACATTGGTCACACCTTAATTTTGATATGATCTCATTCAATGTTAATGTTTTTGTTTTTGCAGTTGTTTATATTACGCGCTGAAGCTGAGTTACAAGCTAATTCTGGTGATAACATTGGACACAATCTTCAGCTTATAGATTCATTGAAGGCACATGTAAGCTGCTTATTTGGAGGTTATACTGTAAAACCAATTTCATTTACACCAGAAACAAAACAGGGTGAACAATTGCGAGACGAAATATTCAAGCCTAGAAGAGTTGGCAATCAGGCATTGACTGATGTCAAATACAAGGGTGACTGGATGAAACGCCCCATTTCTGATGATGAGGTAGGATGGCTTGCAAAATTGCTTGTTTATTTTTCAAGTTGGCTGAATGAAAATCTGGGCTTGAATCGGTCAGAGAGCAGTGATTTAAGCCGTGAATGGTCATATGTGGAGGTGTCAAGTGAAGTTGAAAGTGTGTGTGGACCTGCAGAGACTACAAAGATGGTGTTGTGTGGTATTGCTTGTTGGTTTCTGGAACTGGGTGCCACAGTAGTGAGATTAATGAGAAAGCATGGTCTGAGAGTGAACCTAAGGATGCTAGCGTCGAAGAAGATTGTGATGGTGTTGCTGTTGTCTATTATATTCAGTTTATTGAAGAAAGCTTTTGGACTGTTCCAGAGAGTGTAGATAAGAGTGAAGTACAGGAAAAAGATGAAAATTATAGATTGGATTTTTTGGTTAAAATAACAGAAAAATGGTAGAGAAGAAGAGAAGGAAAAGAATGTTTTTCTTGCAGGTTTTGCTGCTATCTTTCTTTTTGTTTTCATCTTATTGTATATAAGAATTAAAAGTTTTATAAGGTTTCCGGAAGTGCTTTATTTCTGTTCTTAAATTTGTAATTACTCTGGTTTTGTTGGGTCTAAAATTTCAATACTCGGGATAATGAAATTTAGAATACAGGAGTATAAGAGTCATTTAAGAGTTTGATATTTTATGTATTTATAAATATTTTGATTTGGTGAGTTGTACATTAAATTAAATTGATGAAAATTATTATAATCGAGAATTTCATTAATTTTGATAGAAATATATTAGTTGATGGAGATGTTCATTTAAATGAAGATAAAACAATAATAAATTTACTAGCAAGATCTTTTTCTAAAATGGAAAATGTAATTACAATTTGAAACAAACACAAAGGAAATGTGAGTTTATTTTAATTGGAGAATGTGTATATGTATTTATTGAAAATTTATTCAACACTGCAATTTAACTAATAGAATGTCATCACCTACATCATATATATATATTTTATTGTTATATAAATAAAAATATTAATTAAAATTTTTCTAATAATTTAATATTTTATTATTAAATAGTTGTAAATAACATGATCGTATAAAATATTAATTTTTAGAAAATTACTAGTTATTTTATAAAAATTCAATAAAATTCAAAGACAAAAGTTTGAAAATGCAGCCAATAGAATCAGCGTTTCAGCCTGACTGTTGAATGCAAATTAACTATTACTTGAAGGGAACATCTTCATCTTTTTGAAATATTTGTATATTTTATATAAAATATACAAATTAAAAAACCAAATTGAATTAACTTTGTTTAAAAAAAAGATTTAAATAAAAATTAAATCAAAACTTAAAAATTAAACTAAGCTCAGCCAATTTAATTATTTTAATTCTGCAATAATTCAACTTGATTTTTTTAAAATTCAATTTGCACTAATTTAATTCAATTCAATTGAAACTAAACTGGTTGAATGTTAATTAGAAACATGGATTTGTAAGTAGAAAGCAATGTGAGAGTCAACCAGTTAGGCAAAAGCTAGTAGAATATAAGAGTTCATGGCATGGGTCACGTGTGTACTATATTAATACGTTAAATTTGTACTGATGAAAGAGTTAGTGGTTTTTGAATTCTTTGCACACATATAATTATTTATGGAATATCTCTGTATTTTCTTTGGATTTTTGTTTATCAATTAGAAGTTCAACTCATAATTTCCACATTTCAAGAAATGATTTTAGTGTGGTTTATTAATTTAAATTTTATTTTTTTATGTTAGAGAGTATTAATAATCACGTTCCGGTTCATAGTTTTTTCTTTTATAAATATTTTTTATAATTCAAATATGTATTGGTACTTGAGTTATTCGTGAGAGATTGTTGGATATTTTTTATATTAATTAGAATTTCAATTCACTATTCTATAATTTTATAAAAATAATTTTAGTATCCTTCATTAATTTTATCATAGCTGGATTAAAATAGTTTCATCTAATTAAAAAAAAAAAAGAAAAAAAAAACAAAAACCTTTTAGCACGCAGAATTGGATTTTTGTGGCAATTGGGACACTGACACGCGTAATGCAAAATTAAAAACTATACATTGCCTCTTTACTTAACCGTAAGTCAAATGCATCTCTCAAAGTTGTTTTTAGTGAATTAGGTGTGTTTGCTTCACATTAATCAATTATATATTTATATATGCATCTTGTTTTTATTTATTCACAAAAATAAAAGAAATGTTTAAAAAATTTCTGTTCGTTGATTTTGAGGGGCACGTGCTACCATATATATTATACGATTATCCTGTAACATGATCTCATAATGGGATCTTGTTCTTGTCTCTTCAAATATTTTATTTTCGTTACCATGTGTAACATGTTTAAGTAGTAAAAGACTGTCTTGACCATTAACCTTTTTTCTTTTTCTTTTTCTTTTCTTTTTTTTTTCCGTTAAACGAAGAGTTAAGCTCTTGAAAGTTACATTACATGTATAACCTAGTTATGTCACCGGTCCATACCCAATGAGAGGATCAACGAGCATATGAATATTAAAAGAGAAATTCCTAATTAATTTAGAGAGAAAATCTGTACTAAATTTTATCTCTATATATATGAGTAATATCACAAATTCGATCATGTTGCAACAGACTATTAACATCAAGATGTGCTCTTATTTTACCTCTTAATAGATCTATTCGATGTAAATCTAAATTAGTCAGGTCAATAAATTTTTAATACCGAACGGTCAACATTCATATTTTTAGAATTTAATTATATAGTATGCTTTTATTTCATTATACTAAATCCTTCTCTTATTTAGATGTGGATATAAAAATTAATATATCTCAAAGATTTCTTTTATTTTATAAACTTATACTAAAGATAAAGAGAGGAATTAAGAGAAAATATTTAAAAATATAAGATATAATAAACATTGCATGAATGAAAACAGGGAGAAGTAAGACAACAAGGACTTCGATTTGGTCACTAACATACCGTCCACGTAGTTTCAATAGTAATTACCGATTTATAGATGACTATATTTTTTTTTTTGAAAATATAAAATTTTATTTTTACTTGCAATTTTAATATGTTTGAAAGGATATTTTAATATAAAATGATATAAAAATAGTCATAGATAATACAATAATAATAATAATAATAATAATAATAATTTTTATGATGGAATATCTATTACTTCATAAAATAAAAATTTAAATTTTTTTCATTTAATCGCTAATAATCAGAATAACTGTAGTTTGAATACTAATTTAGAATGTAATACAATTTTTTATTCTTATTCTCTTAAGTTGTCGTCTTACATATTGTTTTCTTTTAGTCAATTATGTATATATATAATAATCATTATGTCAGCTGTCAAAGACCAAACAAAAATTAATTATTGGGTGATGCATCATATACCAGTGGCTTGACTGGTGGAGTAGGAATTCTGCAATTGGTTCAGGAAGTTCCTTAAAAAGCATAAACTTCCATATTTGATGAATCAACATTATGTCGAGTCATGATCAGGACATGGGTTGGTCCAAAAATCAAATATTAAACAGTAGATTTTATTCTATTTTCTTGTTGCAATCAAGTAGGAAAAGAAAGCCCTGATCATAATGTATTTTAATTTTAATGAGTTATTAATAATTCTTCGAAACTTTCAAAATAAAAATAAATAGTTAGTATCTCAAAATTTTAATATTTATAATTATTTTAAAGTTTCTTCTCGTTATTTATTAAATTCAACTAATATTAATTATTTACATAAAGAAAATAAAATTTGAAGTATTGAAATAATGTAAGATTGAGAACAGACAAAATAATGTACTTAAAAGGATGAAAAAATTAAATTAAAAATGGAAGGAACTGCAGTAAGCAAAATAATATTACTTTCACAGCGAAAGTTGTGCGTGCAATAAAGTTTGATGTTCCTCCTCTCACATGGGCATTAAATCTGAAAAATAAGAAAAAATAATTAATTAATTAAAAAGTGTTAGTAGTAGTGAATAATTATTGTTCACTCACCCTCTTTCCATAATTGTTTTTTTTTTCATCCGTTCTAAATTATTATTTTATTTCTTTTATCATTATCATTAATTAAATTTTGATATAAATAAAATTAATTTGAATGAATATAACAAAGGATATATTAAGAAAAATTATAATTTAATTATATTAACTAAATATTCTTAATTTATGTGTAAGTTAAATAAAAAAAATAATGAGACGAGATCATACTTCTAATAATATCATATAATTAAAATATATGATATTGATTATGTGTGGCTGGCCAATAAACTTTAATTATATCTAATCTCATTAAACATAAAGTTAAGTGCAATTATTAAATATGCTTTTACGAGATAATGTTTAATCCCAATGGGTCCTTTGTGTGAATGCCATATAATTTTTTTTTTTTAAAAAAAAAAAACAAAATTCAATACAGCTTATTTAGTACAGAATAAAATTAAAAAAGAAAATAAAGAAATAATTAGCCGTTAGAACTCTTTAAAAATTAACTGATATATAATAATGCCTGTAGTTTTTAATCAAATATTTTATTTATTTTTTTCACATAATTTCTGTGAATCAGCACATAGATTACAGTCAAATACCTTCATCATCCATTACTTACTTTGCACTAATCAAACAAGAAATTTCAAAGTAACAATAAAGCATTATATTAATATATGATATGTTTTTTTCGGTCAGAAATATTATTTAATTAGTATATCAATATATAGTCCAATGATAAGTACATATATGGCCTAATAATAAATTTAGATTCGATTCTCTTTTCTCCAATACTCAAAAATTAGCATTCACAAATTCAATTAAATGAATTAATTAAGAGAATTTAAAAGATTATCCACGATGGCTTATGGAAAAAGAAGATGGGTATGTATCTTTTTGAACTTCATATTTATATAATATAATATTTCGTGGAAAAAGGGTGCTTTTCTAGTTAATAGTGGCAAGGCTATACGTATGATAATGAAACATCCCATCAGATACGCATGCAGGCTTGCTCTTTTTATTTTTTATTTATTTTTTATTTTTTATTTTTCTTCTTTTATTAGCTTAGACAATCACAAAAATGTGATAATTTGGTCTTCCTCAATATGAATATGGCTATCTTTAGGTCTTAAATTCAGGGTTCTCGTACATATGTGACAGTGATACCTAGACAAAGACACATATAATTATAACACAGAATATTGGAAATTTTTTACTACAGTCAAAAATTTTAAACGCCAGTAAACCTAAAAGCAATCATTCAACCAAAGTAAAAAAAAAAAAAAAAAATAATACGTATGAATAATGAACATCCATCAGATACGCACATCAGGCTTGCTCTTTTATTTTTATTTATTTTTATTTTTTATTTTTCTTCTTTAATTACTTAACAATCACAAAAAATTGCATAATTTGGTCCTTCTCAATATGAATATGGCTATCCTTTAGGTCTACAATTCAGGTTCTTCGTACATATGTGACAGTCGATACTAGACAAAGACACATATTAATTATATACATCAGAATATTGGAAATTTTTTACGTGCTACAGTCAAAAATTTTAAACGCCATCAAGCCTAAAATGCAATCATTCAACAAAGTAAAAAAAAAAAAAAAAAATAGTAAATCATTCTCTTGAATCTGGACCATTGAAATTTAAAATCATAATCAATAAAAAAATAACAGTAATCCAGATTGCCCAGTTTTTATAAATGCATGCATGTGCGGGTAGACACATTTATATTTAATATATAAAAAAAAAAAAAAAAAATAGTAATCATCTCTTGAATCTGACCATGAAATTTAAATCATAATCAATAAAAATAACAGTAAATCCAATTGCCAGTTTTTATAAATGCATGCATGTGCGGGTAGACACATTTATATTTAAATATATTAATTAATTAATTAATTAATTATCTTTATATAAATTAATGTTTTCTGAATAATGAAAACGTTAACCTATTCAAAGACTACTGGCATTAACTTACTATGAGTTCATAACTAAATAGATATGAATACTTAATTAATACTGATAAACAACGGCAAGTTGTACTACTATACTTCCCATTTTCACATATTAATGCTGCGAATAATGAAACAACCGGTAGTTGGATCCTCCTTTCTTTCTTGGACTGTCTCCCTAAGAAGGGTAGATAGAGATAATATGGAGCTCAAGCGCAGACCCTTAATGTCTTTCTTACAGAAAGAGACCTGCACAGTCTTCTCATATTCTCCACTTTAAGCTCTCACTCTATCATTATCTCTTATTCTTCGTGTGTGTGTATATATATAGACATTACTATCACATATCATTATAGATACATACATTAACTACTCTGAAAATTAACTTGTCTCAATAACTCTCTCTCTCTCTCTCTCTCTCTCTCACCTTACTGTAGTAATGGCACCAAAGAAGAGTAGTGAGTCATCTACTAAAAAATTTATGAACAAAGGAGCTTGGACTGCTGAAGAAGATCAAAAACTGGCTCAGTATATTGAAGTTCATGGTGCTAAGAGATGGAAAACCATTGCCACTAAAGCAGGTTTTTAATCTGCCCTGCCTATAGTTTCTGCTAATATCTAAAATTTTTAAAGAGGCGGAGATTTCTGGGAATGATTAAGCTTAATGTACATGTACTATTGTTTCAGGTTTGAGCCGATGCGGGAAGAGTTGTAGATTGAGATGGTTGAATTATTTGAGACCTAATATCAAGAGAGGCAATATTTCAGATGAAGAAGAAGACTTAATTCTCAGACTCCATAAGCTACTGGGCAACAGGTTAGTTTTCATAGCCAAAAAAAAAAAAAACGAATTATTTATTATCTTAATTAATCAAAATAATGTTATTATGTATATGTATAGGTGGGCATTGATTGCCGGCAGACTTCCTGGGCGAACAGACAATGAAATAAAGAATTACTGGAATTCTCATTTGAGCAAGAAAATAAATAAGGAGAAAAAACCTGAATCTTCGCTACCAGAAGAAAATTCGCAAGAAAAGACTTGCGATACTATTCCTACTACTCATCAGGTAATGGAAGAAGGCATTAAAGAAGATGCACTCCCTGATATTACCTTGGATGAAAATGAGCTCTTCAATTTCTCGACCCAAGAATCGTTTGATTTGGAGTGGGTGAGCAAATTTCTTGAAGTTGATGAGGATCTATGGCTCACTGAAAATAGGTGAGCAGCATTATTGTGTGTGTCTGAAGTAGAGAATTAGAAGTGTTGTTTTGTACTAATTTCTTTAATTATTGATCTTAATTTTTATGTATAATTTGAATAAAAAGGGTGTTTATTTTGACATAAATAATATTTGATATGTGGATTTTTATATGTCAATTACTGATCCCTAAAACAAATTCAATTCCATGCATGCATATTTTAAAATATTAGTACAATGTTGACTCTATTGTGTAATGTAGTTAATTAGAATTTTAGTATCCACTTATATTAGAATTTTTCTTTTTGAAAATTCCATTATTCCATCTTTTCTTTTTCTTTTTTGGTGAAATCTCTTGGTTACCTCCTGCATTCGGTTCATGACCAGATCAACTCTCTCTTGACCAAAAAGTAAAGATGATAAGGTTTATATAGAGTGAGAATCAAATGCAAAATCAAGAAATTGCCATTTAAAAATTTTAAAAATTGATCTAATTGGAGAAATTTTCTGCAGCTGAAAGTCAATATGCAACCAAATCAAAGAAACTGCGAGCTTTGTTCATTGCAAACCCTTTATAGAGTTTAGTTTCTTCAGCACTTTCCAGCAGTAAGTCCTTTCAGAATCCTTTACATCTTTTAAAAGCCTGATCAAATTAAGCTTTTCAGATTTTGAACCTTACAATATATAATTTGTACTTCATTTTTTTTTTTTTATCATAATCAATCTTCAGCACGAAATATTTATTCTTATGCCAATCCTATTGTTTGGAATTCTTGACCAAATATGTTCTGGTGTGTATGTGTGTGTGTGTGTGTTTTTTTTTTTATCTTCATTAATCAATAAAGTTGTTTTGTTCTAAAAAAAAAGATTTACTTTTGAAATTATTTCCGATCTTCCAGTAGTAATTCCAAGTCTTGGATTCAAAAGTAAAATTATGAATAGAATACATGCATTTCCCTATATACTTCTCATGGAAAATTTTGTAACTCTTACATACTCTTAAAGTCAAATATTTTGACAATATTGCAACTTCTCTATACTAGTAATAGTAAAATTTAATATTTTTGATTTGATATTTGGTTAAAACAATTTTTATAATAATAATTGTTATATATTTTTCAATTATCTAATAAATATTTAATATATCCAAATTTGAAACGTTTAATTAATCAAATTGAAGAGTTTAATAGATATAATTTTATAATTAATATGTTCAATGAATCAAAATAAAAATTCATATAAAAATTTTCCTAGTGAATTTATATATTTGACTAAAATCACATACTCCTAGTATCATGGTTAAACCGCCATTTTTTTTTAGGGTAAATTAAAAGATATCATTAAATAATATAAAAAAATCTAAAATAAACAGTCAATTAGTTGTAGTTTAATTGGTCTTTTTTTCTCTTATAAAAAATATAAAAAATGAGAGGTTTAGATGTTATTCAAAAAAGAGGATTGTCTCTGCTGCGTACTCTATAATATTATTGCGTAAAAAAAATCTAAAATAAACACGGGAGGGACATGACCATTCCTCAAACGCAGTTATTATGAAAAAGATTAATCGCACAATAATATGCAATCTAGTAGCCCAATAATGGTGCCTAAAAACTGCGGCCAACTTGGGCCGCTTCGAATGTCACTAGATTTGGTATGCTTTATCATAATAATCAGGGAAATCGCTTTTTACGAAGATAATTAATAAAAAAATAATTTCTTCTATAATTAATAAAAAAGATTTAATTATTTTTGTACAAGTTTTAAATTATTACCTCCGTTTTATAATACTTGTCACATTTGAAAAAATAATTTTTTTCAAAATATTTATCATATTTATAGTTTTAAGGAGCAATAAAACTTTTTTTTTTCGTGTTTATCCTTTAAATATGATCAATAAATATTACAACTTCAATTTAGTAATGATTTTCTTAGAGAATTTACATTAAATTATGGGAGTATAATAAATTTATTCAATAATTTATTGTAATTTAGACAAATTTAATAGTTTTCTTAAAGGATATGAAATTCTAAATGTAATAAATATTATAGAATAAAAGTAATATATTTTTTAGTGTAGCATGTCGAAACTATATCGTGTCGTGTTTTTCTAGAAACAAAAAAGTTACTTTTTAATTAAAGAAACAAAAGTAGAATTTATGCTCAGAATTTGTTTGGCTCTTAGAAATAAAACATTTGATGAAAAAGAAACCCACAAAATGAACTATTATATGCATAAATAAATTAAATTTGTGTTGCATAAATTTTAAAATATTGATTTCATATAATGAATTACATTAAATGATTCTTCTTTTACTTGTCCTTTTGTGGTCAAGAGTTGGTGATCGCAAGCCAACATGAAATAAACCAGGAAAACAGACATGAAAAAACGTTTTCGAAACGCAAAAATACCCATGATTAAAATCATATCTGTGGGGTTTTGGATTCCAAAGAAAATGTTTCTTCCTGAATTTTTAAAATTAGTTAGCATTGTAAGGTATTTTTTCAATAGGTTAGCCAAATTGGATGTCCTTCAGTTTGGGAATAATAACTTTCTCAGCCACAACAATGGAGAAAGAACTCCAATCTAACACATCACTGAAACGGAAAAAAATTATCTGCAATGATCACTGTAACGCATTCCTAACATATGGTCTCAAACATTCACTTCATAAACCATTAGGCATACACAATATATATGCTAGTACAAATCAAATATGAAAATAATATATAAGAAAATATAAAAATAGTACAAACACTAAAGAAATTAATATACAAACATCTGTTCGAAGAATGATAATACTAAATTAATCACATAAGAATTCTCAAAATGTAAGGTAATTAACAAAAATATATTATATATATAATATTAATCGTGAATTTTAATTTCTTATATAAAAAATTGTTATTACTAGGCTTTGCTTCACTATTTATAACATTAAAAAATTGAACTTTATTCCTTAAAAATTTAGATTTCACAGTTTAAATCGGGCTGCATGGCCCTCAAGTTGGATTGTTTGGAGATATTGGAGTGGTATAGGCCCATAAATTTGGTATGCCAATGCTTGAAAAGTCTGGGCCAGGCGTTAAACGTGCGAGAGTCGATGAACATTTCCTACGAGTGAGTCCCAAACTCCTAAATCTTAAACTCTAAACTTTTTAAATCCGAAACCATGATTATATTATTTTTAATTATATTTCATCATATAGAGAGTCTTCTATGTATATTTTTTTTCCTTTAATTAAACAAAATATTTCAAATATATGTGTATTTCAATTTGATATTATATTAATTTAATCTTCAATTTTGTAATTTTATCTCATTGAATTATATAAGTGAGAGTCAAATGTAAAAATCAAGAAATTGTCATTTGAAAATTTAAAAATGGTAAATCATATATAAAAAAATTTGAGATTTCAAGTTAAGTTCTCTCTATCGTAATTATTAATTTTTTTAACGTTATTTAAAGAAGAGAGTTACCAAAAAAATTATTACAATCTACTCATTATTATTTAAAGAAGAGGGTTCACTCTATCTTGTAAAGGTTATATATTTAGGATCCAATTTTAGAGAAATTAAAAATTTTCAAAACAAAGTAAAAAAGAAAAAAAAAGAAAAGACAATTGCCAACTTACGTCACAAATGGTCAAGTTTTCTTGGACAAACGTGAAGCAGGTGCCAGTCTCTATCCCCTGCCTCTGCCACCGATCAGCCCCACTAACGCAACTCTGCAAAACTCATAAACAAGGTAATTTCAAAGTACTGACTGGAAGCCACTCAGTACCTGCTCCTTCCAAAATTTCAGTAGCGACATCAAATTTCTAAGAAAAATTAGAATTTTGTCGGAAAATTTGAAAACACACGTACATCTCTAGAAAGTTAGCTCTGACTGGAAGATGACACGTGCTTATCAGTCACATGTACCAACTATTATCTTGTTTGAATGGCGAAATACACAAATTTATATATAAAATGTAAATGCAAATTTATGCATTTTGCCTCCGAAGTGTTGATGAAAGATGTCTTGTTCTTAAGACATTCATCTAATGAGTAGAGCTTCGGATTAATTTATTTATTTTTTATAAATTTTTATATTAATTAGATTTTCAACTCAAAATTTTATAATGTAAGAAATAAATTTTAGTATTTGATGAATTTAGTTTATATTAATACCTTATATTTAAATATTTAAATATAAAATAGGCAAATATTTAAATATTTAAACCAACGTGCTGATTGGATTGCTAAATTTTATGGTAGTGGAACACTTGCTCTTAATTGGACTTTGGGCTTTAATGCATATTTTCAGTAAAAAAATATGATTTGATCATGCCATCCAATCCAATCCAAGCTTTGGTCAGCCACAGGCGGGTTGCGATTCTCATTTCCTTTTGTTATGACTTGCTATGATTTAAGATAAGGCATACTGGATAGTATTCTTTGAGCTTCCGTGTCTAATCTTTCAATTTAATTTCTCCAATTTCCTTCGAATATAATTATAGTTGCCATAATCTGTTTTTTCACGCTACTAAGTTCATTGAATAATAAACCAAAAAATAATTTTGAGAATATTCATCCGGGTAGCCTAAGCCCATTGAGGTCCATCAATTTGGAGGCCCATTGTGAAGCGCACAGAAGCTAATATTAATTTTTTTTTTTTTTTGAGATAAGGTAAAATAGTTGTTGAGTAAGGAGTAAAGATAACATGTTGAGAGCCTTTTATGTATTTCATGTTGACAGTTGAGCATGTTTGAAGGCAAAATTTAAATAAATATGATAGAAGAATGAATTACTGGGTAATGTTTCAATTTACAGTTAAAGGCTTAACTAGAAATTCAAACCAAGTATCTTAAACAATATTAGGTTTACCTAATTCTCACGGGCCTACCTAATAAATCTATTGCATTTTAATCTCATTGGCAAATTCCAATGTCACTGAATCAAATCAAATAATATACAAAAAGGTATTGGGAGGCACTTTTCCTTTCCTTTCCTTTTCATGTACTATACACTCTAACCCCCTTTTGGACTTTGGCTTTTAATGCATATTTTCAGTAAAAAAAAAGCAATAAAAACAAAGCTTCTACTACTTCAGGGATTGGATTCTTGTACTAAACTGATGCTTTGCGGGGACAGCACGCAAACTGGATTTCGGTTCTAAAAAATTTGAAATTAAAATTAAACCGAAATTGACGGTTTCAGTTATAGTTTAGAATCGAACGGTTATGGTTATAGCTCCGGCTTCAGTTCCTTAATGGTTCTAAAATCAACAATTTTAGCCGGTTCTCCGATTGATTTTCGAGCGAATCATATATTTATAAAATAAAAAATTAAGCAACATTTTTTTCCTGAAAATTTAAAATTAAATATTTATGAAATAATTGTTGGAAAAAATTTAAGAAAAAATTAATAAAAAGACTTAATTTAATTTATTTGTTTGAACAAAAAAGTCTTGGACTTATTTTTATTTTAGAAAAATGGCTCTAAATTAATTTATTTTTTTTAGAAAGAAGCTTGAAGTTAATTTTTTTTAAATGAAAATATGTATTCATAATAAATTAAAAAAAAAATTAAACTTTCACGAATACCCTTAAAACTAGTCATTATATAGTTATTAGAAGAGCAAATTTGAGGATTTCATAAAAATATTTGAAAAAATAAAAAAAATTTATTGGAATAAGGTGGAACCACCTATTCTAACTAGTTAGAAAAACCGCCGGTTCGGCTCCTCAAAAGTTGGAACCAAAA